GGCGTTGGATTGAGCTGCCCTGGTCTGCTGCTATAAATCGTCACACGTGGAGAGCTACAGTCTAGAACATCATCGAGGCCGGTTATATCAGGCATGATCGTAGCCGTATCAAGTAAAATGGTCAGAGCGTTCGGCATCTGATACATAGGTCGCGGGTTCGAGCCTCGCGTGCCGCAACACCTGGGCTGGGTATAGCTGGCTGATGATGGCTTATAAGCCAGGAATGACCATTCCAGTCCACCAAATGCACCAACAGGTTGGTACAGAAGGTGACAGTCTCAGGTGTTAGCTTTAAAGTGATATAGGACGTAGTTAGCGGCTCTTCACCTTCACCCGGAGTCTCGAAGATTAAACAGGTTCCAGCGTAGGCTGCTTTCCAAATGCAAGCCGAAACACTGCCTAACTTAATCTTTAGCGACAGTAGACTTTGCGCGGGTACTACCGCACTGTCTGCCTTCCCTCACCTATAGTAGGTGTCTAGCCAGACTTTAGTAAGCCAGGACTAGTACTGCTACTACCAATAGTGCTATTTCTAATACTACTTACTAGGGTGTTACTTAGTGATAGTATTTACTGGTATTATTAATGAGTTTTTGTATGTCAGATGTGACGCTGATTAAAGTCAGCACTGGGCTCATATCCCCTCTCTTGACAAAAAGTGTAGTAGTACTGGCGCTGACGCCACCATTTATCAGAGGTGACACTGATTAAGCCAAGGATAGGGCTCATATTCCCTTAGTCTCAACAAGGAGTGTGATCTGCGTTTACCTATTTTGGGTAAGTACATACTTGAGGTCCTGAGCACAGCAGCGTTTGCCTTGTTTTCTGCACTCTCAATCTATCCATCGAGCTGTATGGACTAAGATACTGCTGCTATAGGTGCGTGCCTATGCTAAAATTGCTAATTTCTAGTAGTCATGCTTACTACAGCCAGCAGATAGTCTACTATAAGTACTGTCTCTGTGTGCTTTTTTAAGGAGTCGCGCCTAGTATGCACTCCCAATCTGTGTCGGGTGATAGTGATTAGCATTTGGATAATAATAGAGCGTTTGTAAGGTGATGTACAAGTCCTACCATGCCCTTATGTCGTACGGTTTGCCGTATATAGCCTACCTATAGGCTTACTACAGTATCCATCTGTAGCTCGGACTTTACAGAACGTCTGCTCATATCCCCTTGATCCCAGCAGGGAGTGTGAATGAGGGTTAAAGCTATTCCGAGTAAATACCCACCTTCAGTAGCTGTCAAGCCAGAGTTCTGGAAGCCAAAATTGGTACTACTACTGATATTTCTAATACTACTAACTAGGGGTGCAGCTGAGTGATAGTATTGCTGGTACTATTTCTGGCTGTATTATTAGTCAGAAAGAGACGCTGATTAAAGTCAGCACTGGGCTCCTGTCCCCGCAATCTCAACAAGAAGTGCAGTAGTACTGGTGCTAGCACTGACGCTACGATTTGTCAGAGGTCAGACAATCATCGTTCTAACTAACTAGGTGCGCCACAAGTACGGTGCTAGAGTGCAACTTAGACTAGGCTTTGAGGACTACTCTACACTATCAAATCAGAGCAAATCAAAACAAAGAGACTCGAATGCGTAAACTAAGAGGTGTATTTGTGTCTAAACTGAGTAGTGAAGTTACAGCCAGGTATATTTCAAGGTAAGCTAGATTAGAATTATGTGTAGTTAATAAAGCAAATTAAATGCTGCTGTCAAATTTTACGAATTTTGCGTTAGACTACTGCTGCTAGAGGTAACCTGCCACTGCTAAGAGTGCTAATTCTAGTAAGCATACTTGCTAATGCCAGTAATTGGCAAGCTACAGTGCGGTCTGGTTGCGCATGTAGGAAATTTTTGCCTAGTATGCAGCCGTAACCTATATGAGGATTTTTTTTAGTAAGTTGAATGGTTAAAGAAACGTGTATTTTAATACTAGCTGAAGATCTACCGTGCATTTAGGTGGTAACAGCGTAGTAATATAGTGACGATATAGTATCAGGTAGATGATATTTTGACAACAGATTTCGATTATGTTTACCATGTGCCTCTGTTGTAATCGCTGGGTGTAGCTTTCGATAGACGACGCAAAGCCCCAGGTACCGTCTTTCTTCATGATTAGCTCAGTGGTTACCAGGCCTTTATCTCTTAAAGTACTGTCATTTACCGTCTTCAGGCTACCTATAGAATTGCTACCGTATTCAGCTGCCGTTTGGGGGCTACAGAACGTCCCCTGTTTAACTAAGTGCACAACAAGTTCCAGAATTCGCTTATCATAATAGCATGGTAATTCCTATACTGTAACAACATCTGAGTGGTAAGACATGCATCTTATAGCTGCGATAAGCATAACTGATGGGAATATGCGCTTATAGGCTTCCTTTTCCTCCACGGAGGTGATCGGAAGAATATGCTGGGTTGATTTTTGTCGCAATACGAATGGCGCAAACCAGCAGACGAATGATGTCGCCGTTGAAAGTAACTTGATAAATCTTTGCGTCAGTCGAGTGCCCAGATTGGTTTGTGAGCAACCAATAACTCCTGTTTTTTTTCACGCGACAGTTCGGCCCTCTTTTTTTGATGCCCAATTTAGCTCCAAGTAGGTTGGTGCAGTGGCTTGAGCACGAGTTAGGTTGTAAGTGATAGCCGTATTCCCACAGCAGCAACCGCATTCTCGCTCATCCCTCATCCACGAGTACTAGCGCAGGCATCGACGCTCGGGTTGTGGCTGCTGGTCCGCCCATATGCAGTGTCCTTAGTCTGTCGGTCGACGTATCACCTCTCTCCACAGAGGAGGGCTAAGCAATGTTTGGCTTGTGGCAGGCAGACGGATAGCATCATATTCCGAAATGCAGGCGCGATGTCCCGACAGCTGAGCAAAGGCCTTAGCAAGAAGCGACCTTTGTCAGTAGAGCTTATGCGGGCGCCGGCATCTGAACGCGAAAGCCGATTGGTGGTTGCACTGATTAGGGCGCAAAGCGAGTGTGTCGACGCGATTCGTCTCTATTTCAGGATGGAGTTCTCAACGCTACCGACCGATCGTGAAGACTCCACAGAGTCTAGGCTGACTGCAACTTCAGCTGCCTCATCGGCTAGGGAAGAGCAACGAAGGCAAGGTAGTAGTCGACATACTCCGTTGGAATTTTTTGCCACTTAGTGCTGAAAAGTATTGCCCACATGCTGGACACAGATGGCGATGGCCTTATTGACGGTGGCGACCTGCTTGGCGTTATCAGGGGGCTTCAACAAAACCCCACGGAAGCCGAATTTCAAGACATGATATCAGAGGTGGAAATGAACAGTTGGTTGCACTTATATTCACCCTTTCCTTGTGTAAGGAGATGGATTCCTGGATGTCGATGATTTCTGTGTATTCCTTGAGCAGAAAACTATTGGATTCGATATCAGGACTAGGATCAAGACTGTCTTCGATGCATTTGATCACTCAGGTTCGTCTCCTTATATGCTCCCGATCGACACGTATTTTTTTGTCAGCATCGATTACTGCGTTTATTTTGCTCCTGAAACGAGAATATGGACATCTGATGTGAGCGTTGGACCTGCTTTTCGTTTGTAATTACCAGTAGGTGGGAAAATATGCTCGATAAGTCTTGTCAAGTAAGGCAGAGGGAACTGATATAATCATGTGGGGCTTACTTGTCGTTGCTTACCTATTGTGTTTGTTTGTTTGTTTTAATATACTACAATAGAGCTAACACCGCCTGATGACGCCCAATGAGGCGGAAAAGCGCTTCGTGGATGTGTTCTGTGTTTGTCGGTAAAATACCACTGTTACTAAAAGTTAGCTAGTAACATAACTGTTTCGCCTTGAACACATTCAAAATTGAGGTTCAAATTAGCTCGCAAACAAGGCATCAACCAGGTACATCCTGAAAC